TATTGACAGATACTGTATATCAGCTGACAGTTTAATAAATTTAATTTAAAAGCAATAGATAGATAGATAGATAGATAGATAGATAGATAGATAGATAGGCTTCAAAAGGGCGGCATTTGTTAAGAACAGTGTATTCTCAGTGAGTACATATTTTGAGTTATTATTGCATTGTTCTACTCATCTTAATGTGACATTTTTAAAAGATTCCTCTTACACATAAAGATTGCCTTTCCTTTATAATCTGCAATTGCCGTGATTTTCAAAAACTGACAAATAAATCAAATGTCACTTTCTTCCAATGTGGATTCAGCACTAAGGTGCAAGATTCAACAATGACTGAGGATCGGAAGCAGGAACTAGCATTAATTTCTGTGTGCAGGGTAAGGGGACAGGGGTCCGACATACCCAGAAGTGTTGAATGCCGAAGTGGCTTTCCAAAGCTGCAGTGTAGAACAAAGGATAGGTAGGAGAAATGGGACCCCTGGAGGGGTGCAAATACACTGAATTTTGCAGGGATCTGCTAGCATAAAACATCTGGAGAACTGACTGGGTCTCTTGAATAATGTATTCAATAATGGACATGCATACAAAATAAGAACACAGAAGGATAATTGATTCAATTGTGCCACTGTGTTATTGAAGAAGAAAGTATAATAAACCTTAACCGTTTCCCATCTGCTTTATAGCAGATATACTGCTACAGGGCGGCACGGGTTTGCAAAATCACGTATATATACGTGATATTGCATTTCTGGGTAGGGGGCTGTCAATCACCGGGTCCCAGCCTGTGATTACTCGCTGGCGCCCGCTGATTTCCAACAACCTCGTACGGGGGTGGGGGGGAAAAAATTGTTTTGCTTACCAACAGTTCTCCTCCCTGTCAGCTCTGGCACATTGCTTTGGATGGCTGTGCACAGCACAGCCATCCAAAGCAGTGTGCTTACAGTGTGCTTACATGGCCCCCTATGTAAAACACTCCCAACACACAGTTAACCCTTTGATCGTCCCTCATGTTAACCCCTTCCTGCCCAGTGTCAATAGTACAGTATCAGTGCTTTTTTTTAGCTTGGTGTCACTGGAGATGTCAGTGACACCAAGTCAGTTCCCCCCAGTGTCAGAATGTCCGCCGCAGTTCCACTATAAGTTTCTGATTGCCGCCATTACTACTAAAAATTAAAAAAAAAAAATATTCCAGTATCTATTCCACCATTTGTAAAAGCTAAAACTTTCACGTAAAAATATAAAAAAACGCACAGGCGATCAAATACCACCGAAACAAAGTTCAATTCGTGAGAAAAAAAAGACGTAAATTTCATTTGGGTGCAGTGCTGCAATTGTCACATGCAATTGTCAGTTAAAGTAATGCAGCACCATAATGCAAAAAATGGCCTGGTCAGGAAGGAGGGTAAATCCTCAGGAGGGCAAGTGGTTAAACATAATTATTTTGTTACTTTTTTACATATTTTTCTTTTGCTACATTTTTTTATTCCAATGTTAAATTGTATTGCTTTGCTGCAACATACATTAAGTCAACAGAAAATTCCAAAGTCTAATAAGGGGATTTCTGGCCATTTAAACTATCAACAGTACATTACAGTAGAACCAAAGGTAATAATACTCACCTTTCCAATAGTCACTTGCTGGTTTCAGCATCTTCTCCTATGTGCTGGTTTTTGGCCATCTTCATTGGCCGTCACAGGAAGATGTCACTCTTGCACATGTGCAGAAGCTAGTTATTCCGACACAGGGATTGGGCCAGCCACTATAAGATGAAATTCTCATGCACACCTCGATTTACATTTTGAGGATCACTGTGAGCAGGCAAGTACGTGGATTTTATTGCAAAGGGACATTGCATGTCTCTTCTCCAATAAAAAAAGCCTCTTTGCTCACAAAATGTAACAGCGGAACTTTAGTTCTGCTATAAAGTGACACTAATCAATAACCTTATTCTCTAGAAATATTTCATACATAGCCATTACTTGAAGGACCTGTACTACTTAAAGGCAATTACTTCTTACTATGTTTTTCTGCCTCCTTGTAATGTCCTCTGTGAACTCCTGAACATTTCCCCTCTTCACTTCTATTTGATTGAAATTAGCAATGCACTTTAGTTGTGCTCATGTGCACTGCTCTATGGACAATACACATCCCATAGTTCCTAGCCCATCAAGAGAGAGTAGCTTCATTCTTAAATTCCATGGGACCATGGAGAACAAAAACAGTCACCCTCTACCAGGAAGTCGGATCACAGCAGCAAAAAAAAAGGAAAAAAAGGAATTTGGAAGAGGCTGAGAGCAATAGAAGGTCCTTTTTTGAGTTAAGAAAACATAATTGAATACATTTTTTTTAATAAAACAGAATTTAGTGTCACTTTACGTCACCCTGTCCAAAAACACTGATTTTAATAGTGTAAAAAAACGGGGGGGGGGGGGGGGGGGGGGGTAATTAAACCAATAATAATGCAGACATTAATAATATCGATATTATTGACCCACTTCCACTTCTCACTGTTCATTAGGGGTGAGGCAGCAATTAAACACACAACACAAGCTGGAGGTGAAAAAGATTGTATTGTATGAAGAATTAATATGAACAACTTAGCTACTGATAAGGAAATATTACAGAAAACAATACTCTGTAGATATAAAAAAAAAAAGGAAAATATTAACAGCTGTACCAAGAAAACAATTCTCCAGTACAACAGAACTAGTTCTAAGTGGCGTATAACTCACCGGCGGATATTCACAGCAACAATACCCAATCAAACTAAATATATTACCAACCCACAGCTTATCATATTACCACTGTCCTCAATCAGGTCTCACACTCTGGTCTTCAGTCAAGATCCCTCTGGTCTTCAGTCAAGATCTCCCCAGTCTAGGTCTCCCCAAAGTGTCCTTTCTCTGGCATTATCATACCAACTCCCTTTATTTCTTTACTTGGTTCAAATGGCACAATCATATCTCAAGAAAGCAATTTAATGGTACACAATTCTACTTTATTGTGATGAGCCTCCAATTTTAATTAAAGTAGAATTCCTTTGTGGGGTCATGGTGTCTGATGCTGGGTCTCAAAATCTACAAGTTTATTATCCTATCTCCTAACATATACAATAGGCCAACTTAGCATCCCAAAGTGATATGTCCCATGGTGACAGAGTGTTTGCTAACTAGCCATCACCTTTTTTCACCAGCCCTGTAAAGATAAAGGGGCAATCTTAATTACAATGCGAACATTTGGCTTTGATATACTAATGAAGGTGGAGAAGACTAGTTCTTTTAAGAAACAGAGGACAATCTTGTCCTGTATGGCATACAAACATACTTTAGACCAGCTACTTTCATAGTCATGTCAAGATTCATTCCCACATATCATATTAATCACATATAAATATATATTAAGTACAAACTGTACATTTCCTATAAATATATATATTATTGAGAAATTCAATTTCTTACAATGATACATGGAGTGGCTTTGTATATACAATATTTTTGTATAATATTTTAAAACATTTTTTCTGCAAAAAGGCACATATGAAATGTTTTATACTAGTATTAGGCATGCTACTATATATCAGAGTTTTTATGGAAGATAACATTGAGATACAGGTTGGGTACAGTTACAATGCTGGATGACATGAGGTCAGTACATAATATAAATCCAGGACTGAAAGTGTAAGCTCTATGAAAAACTCTCCCCAATGAGAATATGTCTCAGAACAATCAGGACATATAATAAATTCACTTAAAGACCAAGAGATGTAAACTGCGATTGAGAAATATGGCAGTATGAACCTCAAAGAGGGATGGCAAGGGTCCGCATGAAGCCCAAGAAATTAGCATAAAACTCAAAAAAAGCCCATCCTATGTTTTTTTTATTTTCACCTGGTGATCTGGCCAGTAAGTCTGTTGTTTTTCAAAAGAACATGTTTTCTTACAGATACATGGATGAGACAAACCATTCAACACTGACAATGATCAGCTTTTATTTATTTATGTACAACCTTTATCCCAAAAGGAAAAAAAATGTTTGCTGTAACTGCTTATAAAGTGTTAGCTGGAATTTGGAATCAATTTGTTAGTGTATTTAAATATGCTAGTACAGTGGTTCTCAACCTGTGGAACCTCTGGACCCACATTTGTTATTGGTCATTAAGGCACGAGCCAAAAATAATTTAATTGCCGAAATATAATTTATTCCACAAAACAACTTGTGCAGTAGTCTACAATGTACATAATTTTACATAATAAAACACTTTTTTAGACTTTTATTATTATACATGATTTATATAGCACCAATAGTTTGCTCAGAGCTTTACAATATAAAGGGAGACAATACAGCAATGATACAGTTACAAGAGGGTTACCTGCTCCTTGGAGTTTACAATCTAAGAGGGAGGGGCTGGTGGTTCAAAAGATAAAGAGAACTGTGGGGGAAGAACTGATAGGAGAAATAGAAGATTTGGCTATTAGCTGAAGGAAGGCTAGGCTTCCCTGAAGAAATTTCAGGGATCGCTTAACCTCCCTAGCGGTATGATTATTTCAGATTTTTGGTGCTGAAAGCGGTACCATTATTTTGCATGGAAATATGTAGTTTTTTTATTGTAGGCTGTAATATTTAGGAATAACTCACTGAAATCTGTCCGAACAAGAGTCTATTAAACATCCTGGGTATGATAAAATTTGAAACACAAAATCATAAATTATAATTTAATAAATAATCATAAAAAATAATAATATAATAATATTACATTTAATTCAATAATATAATCAAACCAAAAACACTGAAATGGGAAATATAGCGCCAAGTTCGCACATCGCTGAGCAAAGTCGCAAAATTGTTTTCAGTGTCTGATGACGAATTTCTTCACGAATCATTATCACTCAATTCTGCAAGTGGTTCTGATTTACTATCGCTGTTCTCTAGCTGATCTAAAACCGCTTTTGGCCTAAAGGGACAATTTTTGGACGCCATGGACTTTTCTAAGTTTCCATTCAGAAAGAACATTCAAAATGCAGACAGGGGACAGGACAGAGCAATAGGGACAAAATGTATGTGAAATGGGTTGAAACAGCAATGAGGTCGTTTGACTATGTAAAATCGTTTTGAAAAAAATGATATTTTTTAAAATTTTCAAATTTCCCGCCGCCGCCGCCCGTACGTCCCGACGTCACAGGGACCGGAACACAGGAGTCGGATGCCGGCATCAGCCGGAGGAGATGGCCAGAGACGCTGCAGGGGACACATCGCGGGAGCGAAGGACAAGGTAAGCTCTGCAGGGACTCCCTATGCAGCGCCGCATGGTAAGCCCGAGTGTAGCTCTGGGTTACCGCTTTTGGTACAGACATTTTACCCCGAGCTACACTTGGGAATACCGTTAGGGAGGTTAAAGTGGGCAGAGTAGGCGATAGTTGGATAGATTGGGGTAGAGAGTTCCAGAGGATGTTAGGCTCTGCAGAAGTCCTGGAGACGAGCATGGGAGGAGGAGACAAGGGAGCTAGAGAGCAGGAGGTTCTTAGGAGGAGCGGAGAGGATGGATTGGGTGATATTTGGAGACAAGATTGGTAATGTAATTTGGGGCAGAGTTATAAATGGCTTTATATGTTATTGATAATGTTTTGAATTTTATTCATTGGTCAATGGGAAGCCAGTGGAGGGATTGGCAGAGAGGGATGGCAGATATGGAACGGTTTAGTAAGCTGGATGAATCTGGCAGCAGTGTTCAGGATAGACTGAAAAGGGGAGAGCCTGCGATTAGGTAGGCCAATGAGGAGGGAGCTACAATAGTAAAGGTGAGAGATAACAAGGGAGTGAATAAGTTGCTTAGTAGTTTCCGAGGTTAAGAATGGGCGTATCTTGGAGATGTTGCGGAGGTGACGTCTACAGGATTTGGACAGTGATTGGATTTGGGGCTGAAAGGACAGATGGGAGTCCAAGATTACACCTAGTACCCTGGAATGAGGGGAGGGACTGATAGTTATATTATTGATCTTGATGGAGAAGTCAGGGCACGGGCTGGAGAGATTAGAATGAGCTCCATTTCAGAAAGATTGAGTTTGAGGAAGTGGAGTTACATCCATGCTGATATGTCATTTAGTAGGTTAGTAATGTACAAGGAGACTGAAGGGGCAAGGTGAGGAGTAGAAAGATAATATCACGTACCTGGTGATGGAGGCCAATGGAGAGAGGGCTTCCCTTGCGGCTAAGTTCCGGATTCCCCTGAGAGTGGGACAGCGGGAGTCAGGCCCAAAGTTGCACAGGTCGCCTGTAGGAGTGCTGGTTGGTGGTCCACTCAGAAGCACAGCTGGTGCACGGAGATAGGTCTGCAGACAGAAGGCGCCTGTGCGTGGTATGCAAGCCCTTCCGGGATTTAGATGTTTACTGGGTAGTCGGTTCAAGCCAAGGTCAGGTACAAGGTGGGAGTCAGAGCAGACGTAGTCAGATGGGATAGCCGAGGTCATACACAGAGGAGCGAGAGAGAGTATCCGTAAGCCAAGCCGAGGTCAGATCAGGGGTAAAGCAGAGTAGAAAGGTCCAGGAGCAAGCCGAGTCGGTATCAGGAAATCACAGGTCACAATCACAGGAAACAGGAACAAGGCACAGGGAGCTAGAGATCATCCAGCAACTTGAGGAAGTGATGAGCCTCCTTATAAAGGCCATCTGGCACCAAACTGAGGCTGATGTGTGCTTCTGCGGCCATGCAGAGTACTGGCAGAAATGCCAGATCTTCCAGAACTTCTGCCGTGGACAGGACCCTGACAGATAAATTTGCATGTCATCAGCATAGAGATGGTACTTGAAGACATAGGAGTTTATCAAGTGACCAAGGGAGGAGGTGCAGATGGAAAAGAGAAGGGGTCCAAAGACAGAACATTGAGGGACCCCTACAGAAGGTGAAAATGGAGCGGAGTATATTGAGTTTTAGTAGAGCAGTTTCCGTGGAGTGGAGTGAGTGAAAGCCAGACGGCAAAGGGTCAAGAAGGTTGTTGTCAGTGAGGTAGGAGCGCAGGCGATTCTAAGAGTTTAGAAGTAAACAGGAACAGGGCGATGGGTCTTAAGTTGTTCAGGTTGGTGGGGCCCAGTGAGGGCTTTTTAAGTATGGGAGTGATCTGTGCATGCTTTAGAGGGGAGAGATTGAACATGTGAGTGAGGGAGTAAAGGATAGAAGAAGAGGGCGACCATAGTAGTTATGAGGGAACAGGATCCAGGGAGCAGGTGGTAAGACGGGCTTCTGAGAAAACTTTAGTGACCTCTTCAATAGTAGCAAGGTCAAAAGAGGAAAGTGTTGAGGGAGGTTTAGTATAAGGTATGCTAAGTGGGATAGATGTCTGTGTAGTGGAGATGCCCCTACCAATCGCATCAATCTTGTTTTTGAAATTATTGGAAATCTCTTAAGCAGTGAGTGAATTAATGGGTGGAGGTGGAGGTGGAGGTGGAGAAAGTAGAGAGTTAAATGTAGAGAAGAGACGATGAGGACTGGATGAAAAAACAAATCATTTTAAAACAAATATTTATTTTAAGCATACGTAAAATAACAAAAATCCACCAATACCCCCTAACTTTAAGCAATGTCCCCTCTACCTCACACTAATAGCCCATTAAGCTGAGCAATGCCTCCTTTGCCTCTCAGTCTCTCAAAGGCACACTAAGTTAAGAGTATTTTAATGTCTTCAGTGGCTTTTTAAATAAACAATATAGTTTGTGCAATATTTGTGTTAGGATTTTCAGTCCCCCCCCCCCCCCCCCCCCCCCATTTCATGCACTCCTTCAATCCCCACTTCCATGCCCACTTCCATGCCCTGCTTTAGCCCACCCTTTGATGCCCCCCTTCCTTTCCCCTTTTATGCCCTTTCCTTATCCTCATTTCACACCCTCCTTTAATACCCACCTTGACCCCCTTTTCATGCCCTCCCCTTTCATGGTTTCCTTCTGTCCTCCCCTTTCATGCAAACTTTCAGTCCCCAACCCAATCACCATCACTTTCCTGTTTTTTTTTCACTCCTTTCAAAATGCGCTCTCCATCACCCTTCCACAACCCAGGAAAAGTACCTAGCAGAGTAATTCACTGACATCCAGTGGTGCTTTTCTTCCCTCCTGTGTGGCTGGCTGGAAGAAAGTGTAGGTATATGTCACCTCCTCCCAGCGCTGCTGTGGAGGAAGGAGGAATGAGCGTGAGGGCCGTGGGACTGCTTTGTAAATGCACCATGCGTGCACAACCTAAATGGGACCAGTTGGCAGCAATAATACAAATGCTAAGGCTGGCCGTAGTTGCAGTCCTGGCCGTCTTAACAGCTATAGTAGCACACCCCATGATTTCTATTAAGCTATGTGGTCAGGGCACCGGATGTTTTATTGGGGCATAAGAGAGGCCTAGGGGACTTTTGCCCCGTGGCCCAGTCCAACCAACTTTTGTCCTATGTGGCTCCAGAGTGCATATCTTAAACTGAAGATGACATCTCAATGATCACATGGAAACCTGATCACTGACTTTCTGTACAGTGTACAATGACTTCTGAGCCATAAGGTGAGATTTTTCTTTTTCCTTTACAAAGATTAGAGAAGGCCTGGAGGGAATATACTTATTTCTTAGGTCCTACGCTTTTCCTTAAAAAAAAAAAAAAACAAACTACTATAAATTCCCGTTAAGAAGAGATAGCCTATGCAATTACCTTTGTAAATTGACTTTTACCATCAAAATACCTCAAAATCAATAACCCAACATGCACGTGGTAAATTCAGATGATCCCTACAGCAATGCCTTCAGTAAATTGAAAAGTAAATTGTCAAGAGTGGAAAAAAAAAACAAATAATGCACGGTAATGAAAATACCACATATACTGTGCTTTTCTGAATCGAGCCTAAGGCTCCTTGTACATGATACGGATGTATTTGTGCCGGATTTAGCTAGCAGAAAGGTCCCGAATAAAAAAAATGAATATGGTCTATATAGTGATTATGTACATATATGCAAGTAAAAATGGCAGAATACTTCTTTTAGCTTCCACACAAATGTATTATTTACAGATGTTTACATGCAGGATCTTGCTGACAGATTCCGACTTAAAACAAAAGAAGTTATGTTCCATAAGACTGTATAGGCATGTAAAGGTGCACATGAGTATACACATGTAAAATTCTTTCTTACACTCTTCTAGTTGCCTTTGTTGTAGTTTACACATTTATGCTTGTATACACTTGCAAATACACACATATGTGTGTAAACGATTGCACTCAAACATAAAATTTTCTGAACGCATTGCTACATTACTGATCTTTACACAGTTGTGTGCATTAATATTATTATTATTATACAAGATTTATATAGCGCCAACAGTTTGCTCAGCGCTGTACATTATAATGGGAGACAATACAGCAACAATACAGTTCAATATAAGAGGGTTAGGAAGGCCCTGCTCCTTGGAGCTTACAATCTAAGAGCATTACTTTATAGACCACAATGCACCTGTGCTCAGACACATAAAAAACATGACTTTTTTTGTACGTGTGACAGAGGCCTAATGCAGATTTTTGTATATTTGTATTAACTGATCTGGACACTTGTTTACTGACTTTTGCACATGGGCATATAGAAATCAATAAGCTGCATCACTGCAGCCCTCCACTGATCTGGGCTTTATGGCAGAGTGGCTAGACTTCTATCAGTGTCCAACAGAGCACTGGTTAAAACTTGTAGGAGGACTTTTCATTCTGCTCTAGGAAGATGCAGAACCCCTGACCTCTGTCTGGACAGTGCTGATTACACGCATTCTGCCAAGAAAAAAAAAAACCTCTCTAGCAATACACACCAAACTGAGCATGTGCACAGTGTCTCCATATGATATGTCTTATCAGGAGATAGGAGGGGGACACTGGAAGAAGGGGAGGATCAGAGAAGAAAGGCTCAAACATAATTTTTACACCATGCAGAGGATTAACCCCTTCGGTTCCACAGTGAGTATAACAAGCATGGTTTACTACATATACAGACTGATTTTACTGTTGTAGGTTTAGTAACACTTTAAGGGATCCCTTTATTTTGTAGTCAAAGCACATTCACTGCTGGAAAACATATGGACTATTGACTGCATGAGTGCTTACAAACCTTTCATCTGTATCATTTGCATAGACTCTTAGATTGTAAGCTCTAATGAGCAGGGCCCTCTAATTCCTGTATTGAATTGTATTGTTACTGTCTGCTTTATTTTGTAAAGTACTGCACAAACTGTTGGCTCTATAGAAATCCTGTATTATTATAATAATAATAATAATACACACTTTACTTGCTCAACAGAAACAGCAAAATTAAAAAAAAAATGTTTGTCTGTCTTATAACTATAAGGCCTGGTAT